CTAAAAATATTTTAAAAAGTTGTTTATATATGTACCAAAATAAGTTTGAACAGGGAGAAAATGTTTAGATAATGCATAAAGTTAAAAGACAAAATAATCCATATATTTTAATAATTAGTAGAATTTCGTATAACAAAATATATACTTTACTTACTAGTATTTGTTATAATAATTTGATAAAAAGAACGTCTGGAATTCATCTGTATTCTCGGATTTAATTAAGAAAATTATTTTTCTTAGGGTATGACATAACACTGTCCCACAGCAATACATCCAATTTAATTATTTTCATCCAGAATTGGCGATCACTAAAGAAAGAATTTGAAACAAATTATTATAAATAAAAAATATTATTCACTTGATTATTGCATCACTCTATGGATTTTTTTAATTAAATACTTTACATTACACATAGCTTGTATTTATGGTATTTAAAGTACTTTGACAGGTAGCCATCTTGATTTTATCCTAGTGATGTTTTATCTTATGTCTAGATGGCGAAACATATTCTACTAATCGGTGAGACATAGTAACATTTACTTCCGCTAGATGGCAGCCTAAATTTACTAGTCGGTACAGTGAARTAATATCTAGTACCGATAGGTGGCGATACACATTTTACCAGTCGGTAATAAAATATAGTTAACGCACACACTATATGTTTTTATTAATTGATTGAAAATAAATGCAACCCACAAATCAATTGTTACATGATAAAAGTAAGTTTATTTTAATAGTATTATAATATTTACCTCTTCTTTTAACAAAATTATTATATTTGCCTCCAACATATTATTGTCTAGATTATTTTTAGTCAGAACAGCTGCATTCTATTCGCATAATAATTCACATGGATTTATTTGCAAGGAAGATATTAATTTATATAAATACATACATTTTTCTTGTCAGTCAAAGAACAATAATATCTTCGATTATCGTTTATAAACCTGGTAAAAGATTTTGTACAAGAATAGAGTTTTCTAATATAATGCATTTGCCTTTTGTTTTCTTAATTTGTGATAACTAAGATGCATTCCTTCTACTAATCTTCTGATAGAATATTGCTGCATATGGTTTCTTCCAAATGTAAGTATAATAAGAACAGTTCATTTAAAAATCTTTCATAGTTGCAGTATTGTTGGATTCTTCTTATCAATCTTGATAATAATGAGTAGACACTTGTAGTCAAATTATTTACCTCCCCTGTGGAATRAATCAATTTATCAATCAGTTTAATATAGGTTTGTTTTTTAYTACCCCACGAACTTTTCAGAAATACTCTACCATACGAACTTTTTAGAAATACCCTACYCTACGAACATTTCAGAAATAYAAACCCTACGAACTGTATTTCTGTATAGTATTTCTGAAAAGTTCGTGGGGTAGGGTATTTCTGAAAAGTCCATAGCGTGGGTATTCTTGGAAAGTTAGTAGGGTGGGTCACGGTTGCTTGACCCTTAAAGCAATATTGCACAATATTATACTATTTTCTGTCTTAGGTACGCAACCAAATTGAAGACAGTCATCTGAAAAACCAGAGAAATATATTCATATGAAAATTTTTGAAGTGAAAACTTTTTTAGAATGGGTGTAATTTGGAAAAATGTAACGGTTATTGTAAAAAATGAAGCGGTAGGCCGCTGCGTAACGGAACGGTAGGAGGCTATGAAATGAAAGCGATACTAAATAAGAGCAGAGAAAGAGACAAACATATAGGAATGAGCCTGCGAGAGAATGAGACAGAATATAGCTCTACAGTTTTTCCTATTCTCTGGCTTTGATTCGTGGTCCTCACTCCTGGTTACTAAGTTGTGTGTATGTGTGTGTTGTGTGTCAAACAAAGGCAAGCTCTGTTAGTGGCGTAATGTTGCTACGTCAGAGCGTTGCTATGGTAACCATTAACGGTTTTTTACATACAACTAAACCGTACTAGTACTTTGCCCGTTACAAAAATATGTGTGTGTGTGTGTGTGTGTGGCAAAGGACAAGAGCAAGCTTGTTGTATGACGTCACGTTACTACGTAAGAGCGTTACGAGTGAGTGAAAACAAAGCAAGCTGGTTGCCGGGAGAGTTCTTGTTTACGAGAGAGAAAGAGAGAAAGGGAGAACGATACGTGCGATAAAGAAGTGTGATTACTGATTAAGCGATAGAATTAAGTTGAATTTGAGGGATATTAAACGAGCGATTTTGAGAGTGAATAAGCGTGAAAGTGTGCAGTGAGTGACGATACAATACGAGCAGTTTAGCGTTTTAGTTTAATAGTGATTCGTTACGTGCGATTTAGTGTCTAAGAGTTTTCAAGAAGCAGCGGAGGGAGTTCATCTAATTATTGCGTGTGAATTGTTTTAAACGGATTGTAATTTATTAACTTGTTAAATAAAAGGTGTTTGTTTTCTATTTTTTTTCGAGTGGTACCGGCTACGCAAAGAATTCAGATATCCTTAGCCGGATACGTAATAAGTGTTTTCCTTACACTGTTAACTGAATGCACCTAGTATAATATCGGAAAATAGTCTTCCTTTAAATTTAACTTTATACTGAGACATTGTTTTCTATGCAAATACTTTTATACTATGTTTTATATATGAATTTCTGAGTGTGGAACAAGCATATATATGTGGGTGTTGAAAGGCGTTAAAGAAAAAGAGAAATAATGATTGCTTTATTAGAATGCGTGCGTCTAGCGTGAGGACTGTTATGTGTGCGTGTGTATGTGTAGGAAAGAAAGAGATAAGGAATGGTTGCTTTGTCAGAATGCGTGCGTCTAGCGTGAGGATGACTGAACGAGAGGCGACCACCGTTCGTTTTTTGTCGTCGAGCTACTGTTGTGTGTGTTTTGTGTATACACGTGTGGCGAAGCAAGCATAAGCTTGTTGTATGACGTCACGATAGCCGAGGGTGGGAGTAGAAGCATCCGGTTTGTTATAATTGTGTGAGTGCGTGAGTGAGTGTGACAGAGCGCTTGACAAAGGAAAGCTCAGCGCGTCGCAGTGTTGCTTCCATCAGAGCAAGGTTCAGCGCGTTGCAAGATGTTATCAGCTTGTTAAAGTTCAAGCTCGGTGCGTGGCAGGATGTTGTTTACGTCAGAACATTGTTCTGCGCGTGGCGTGATGTCGTTATGTCGGAGCGTTGCTAAGCAGCTCATACAAAGGCAACCTCGGCGCAGCGTTGCTAAGCAGCGAAAACGTATGCAAACTCGGCGTATAAGGGGAGGGAGCGCGAGCACGTGTCAGGGAGAAAGAGTGATAGAGCGATACGTGCGATTTTGTATTCCTTTTGAATATTTAACAATTATTTTAATATTATATTAAATATTTTTTTTTACAATACAGGAAAATGTAACTCTCGAAATTACCACTGCTCAAGAACTATATAATAATTACATTAGAATGAAAACAATTTTAAAATAAAAATATTATAGATAATAAGTCTTATAATTTTAGACATTTTAATTTCCTTTTCTTTTACATTCATTTCCTTTTCATTCTATATTTATTTATTTTTCTATTAAATGTTTGAAGTTCGATCTTAATTTTAGTTAAACAAAATCTTATGATCTTTCTGATGTGTATTAAGAGTAAAAAGGTTTCGTTTACCTAAAAGAAACCATTAGCGATAACATTCAAGATAAAGCGATGCCAGCGATAAAAGACTGCTGCTTCCGAAGAGAGTCTGACCTTTTCCAATTTTTAGCCCCACCTCCAGTGATATTGGTGGCCAATAAAATTCATATGTTCTCTGTTCCTCTGCAAAAGAACGTAGCTTATTTTTAAAACATTACATTAAACAGTGTAGCGGTACGACCGATGGTCGCGCCATCTAAGTTACTAGAAGGCTAGGGAACCACGCTAGCAAGTGTGGTCACCAGACGAGTACAGTCTGTGCGTAGCCGTTGAGAAGTGTACAACAAAGAAAAGCAAGTCGCATCCTAACAATAAAGATCATAAAACAAATTCAGTCTAATATTATCTTTACTATAGAGAAACCCTCTACAACAGAGTACAGTATAGTGACATCTATGCTCAGTCAACGTTTATGTTCAAGTGATCTTGGAACCTTTTTGTGGGTTTAGTGACATCTATGAATGGTCAAAGGGACTGTGTCTTTGATACAATTTACACAGTCAACGTCAACGGAAAATTGATTTTAAATATAAAAGATTGAATATAGACCAAGAGGTGCTATAATAAAATTTGCAAATATTTAAAAAGTAGAATGAATTAGACTGTTTTGTAAAAAGGCTCGAATGAAAAAATTTCTCACTTATGGCACCGCACGAATGAATAACAGCATTCGTTTCCGTTGTAACATTATATCCTATAGGGCTTTCATCATGAAGATGATTTTGAAAAATTACTTTTAACATTGCGAAATGCACGAATAATTTGAAGAAAAGTCAAAGAGAAATCGAAATTGTTAAGTGTCCCTATAGCTTAGTCGTTGCAATCGTTTGAAAAGAGTAAAGACGATCGTGATGAAGAATAATAAGAAGAAAAAGTACCAAGTCGTTCTGGTGTAATTCGAGTTCGAGGAGCATAGAGGTAGGAGAGGAATTGCAAGGGAACTCGAAGCAAGATCAGTTAGAGAAGTCGAAGAGGAGAGAGAGAATAACAGGCAGCAGTATCTTTTCGCGCGTCGTACAGACCCTACGTGCTTTTATTAAGTGTACCTGAGTTGATTTCTCCAAAGGACTCGTATCTTTTTTTTTAGTTTAAAATAATATTCTTAAGCTAAACAATTTTCTTTCTTTGTTTACATAGAACATTTTTCATTTATCAAAATAACTACTAGTGAAATTGTTAATTTGTTTTTTTGTTTTTTTTGTTTTTTTTTTTTTGTTTTACAATATTATTATGATATTGCATACAAAATATGCAGAATAATACTTGTAAGATTACGCGATGGAATTTTATATGTCAGAAAAATTGTTAAATTTCCCTAATATAGTAATTGACAAATTACTTTTGAATTTGTCGATAAAGGAGAAAAGGAGAAAATAATAAGTCTGTATGAAGATTTGACGTATATGGAAAACGTTTGATGTTTTAAACGAAGTGGAGGTTCCAATGTTTTCAGTTACTTTAAACGTATAAAGTCGTGCATCACAAAGGATTCAGTTTAAATTTCCAATCAAGTCGAGTCGGTAACGTTTTTGCTTCGAGTTGTGTCGCTCAGATAAGGAGCAAGAAAAAGTAAAGGAAGAAGAAGGGGTGAAGAAGAAAAGAAAAAAGAAACGAAAGAAGAAGAGAAAGAAGAAGAGAAAGAAGAAGAGAAAGAAGAAGAGAAAGAAGAAGAGAAAGAAGAAGAGAAAGAGGGAAGCGTCTCTTCACAGGTGTCGCTCTAGAGCACTATTACTCGAGAAGGCCACATTTGCTGCTGGTACCGCGAACGTGGATGGTAAACCGGTGCACCAATGTCGCTCATTCTCAGCGACCAAGTTCTTTTAAATTGAAAATTATATTGCAAATGAATATTAATCTTCATACATTTTGATCCATCGTAACACGTATAACATAATCTCTCTAATCATCAGCATAATATCACTTATTAAAATCATAAACAAAAATAAACAGTAATAATAATACTATGTAAACAAGTATTGGTGATTTGCGTGAAAATGAACTAAAGGCTATTATAAAATGAACATTTTGTATTGTTGATAGATTATTTCAGTTTTATGCCAAAAGATTGTGTATAGAAATGAAGTCAACTATTTTAAATTGTGGAAAAAAAACGTGAGTTTATTTTCGATATGAATAGAACTGGAAAATTGTTTATCTTTTGAAGAAGACGACGGAAGGAAAACTCTTGTGCGAGTTTCTTAGGCAAGGTACAAAGTGCAAGTTGCAAGGTGCAAGGTGCAAGGTGCAAGGTGCAAGGTGCAAGGTGCGATCAGATGAGGATCGTTTGAAGAGACGAGAAGACCGGTCGTGCGTGCGTGCGTGCGTGCGTGCGTGCGTGCGTGCAAGCGTGCGATTGCCGTTATGTAATTGGCATCACTTGAAGCCACGCGAACAAGCTACAACGTCAGAATCGAAAGTAATCGACCGATATGAATAGTTTCAATTTTCATGGAAAAGATCATTTAACAAGTTGAGGAAATGATCAATATCGATTATCGTATATATCACTGTCTTTAGTTCCATCGATTTTACTTAGTCAGTTAATTTCCTAATTAGGTTAACAAAAATCTACTCTTGCTAAGAGCGATCTGATGAACTGTTGTAACTCATCGATAAGATATGGAAGACGGCATGCAAAATAGTCTACAATCGGAACAATGGTTTTCAATGTTTGAGAAAGGAGATAAGCGACCAAGTTCCATCGGTAGCGGAGCCCTACGTTTTATTCGTACTCGCAGCAGCATCCAAAAAAATATTAAGAAGCACTGCAATAGGTAGGATTTTGATTTCGAATCTTGTATTTTTCTGTTGTTTGTCTTCTGTTTACCACTGACTGATCAAGTTCCTTTTTTTTACATCCTTATTTATCTCCTGTTACGGAAAAAGTGCGGTTTGACGCCTTAAAGTACTTATCGATGCCTTTTTCTTCTTATTTTTCTTTAATCGCGAGTTTTCTGTGATTATCGACCCACGTTCGTGCTTGTGATAAGATCTCATCTTATCGACATTTTTCATACTTAGCATTTGTTTTATTCTTAGAACGTTATCTTCCGGTGTATAGTTTGTTAAGTTTCAAAGAGGTCTCTAACGAATCCGTTAAATAAAATAATCCCTTGAATTAATCGATAGAATGAAAATGCGTAATGGAGAAGGCAGGTCTACCGGAGCAAGTTCAGATATCTGTATGTAAACCTAAGATTTTGTGGTATGTATTGTTCAGTGAAGTCAGTAAAGCCTCACTGCCCCATTACATTTGGGTATGGGCAGGCACTGATATTATTCGATGAAGGCTGATAAGCCTTTTAGAAGGCTTTAGGTTTTTCACGTATTCTGTACTAGCTTGTCGCAAAAATAACAAAACAGCACGTTTTTCGTAAATTCTGTGAATGAAGATAAGCCTGTGCTAAAAACTTGCTAGTGTTATGACTTTGCAAGATTGGATATTGTACAATAATGAAGAACAATAATATAATTACCTACTTGCCGTTGCTAGAAACTAATTGCTTTCAGAGTAGGAAATAAAATATGCTTTCGTCGATCACGATACAATGATCCGTGAAAAATTCAACCATATTTACAAGTTTTTTTGCATGGCTCTTCTGAAATTCTTTGTGTGCGTGTACGCATAAGTGATGTACCGTTATCAGCCCTGATCCGATCGCGAGAAACGTCAAGGAAGAGAACGTAATGATAAATAACATTGCAAGATCTTCTCTCCCCCTCTCTTCCTCTCTTTTCCTCTCTCTCTCTCTCTCTCTCTCTCTCTCTTTCTCTGTCTTTCTGTCCCCCTTTTTTCCTCCCTTTCACTCCTTCTTCTTCTTCTTCTTCTTCTTCTTCTTCTTCTTCTTCTTTATTTTTTTCTTCTTCCTTTTCCTTCTGTAAGCTGAAAGACGACGTTTCGGCGTTCTTCAAAGGAAAGTGACCAGCCTTGGAATAACGGAGCAAACCTCTTCGAAAGCAACCGAAATCTTGCTTATGCATGTACGTAATATTCACCATACTATTCTTTTACTTCGTACTGTCTGAATCTTCTCAATATATCAAACTTTCTGCATATTTTGGAAAATATTCTCATTCGACGATCACTAATTTTGTAGTAGTACTTTCTTTTATTATCCTTTCCTTTGTTATTTTTATCTTTTCACATCGTAAAACTATTCTTTACTTAAAAAGAACAAAAAAAGAAGGTTATTACCATTAGTCATAATGTTGCCTTCTATGAGAATTCATAGATTCGCTTGTAGATAGTAGGAACTAGTAAGTACTTGTCTATCCGAGTCTGGCAAATCGAATGTACAATAATACATTTCGTTTGCTGCGATATTTTCAACAAAGGTAATTCGCCACGCCGGCTGGGTATCTTGTTGTCCGATAATGGTTCTCGAAGAGGTTTCAGGTTCACAAAAGTATTCCGCTCATGACGCGTGGCCTCAGATAAAGATCTAAGTAGGTAGCTGCACAATTTAATATCATAGAATATACGACTAATAATACTAAATGAATCTTTTCAAATATTATTTTAAACAACCTTATCTACCGATTTATTTAACGTAACTTATTTAACACTATTCTGGGGATTATAAGATAGTGTCAAATAATATAGGAACACTAAACACAACTTCGCAATAAAACTATATATAACTTATATGACTTAATTATAATATAACTCCTTAATATATTAAGGATAAATGACTCCGTTTTTTTGATTTATGTAAAATTTA